GGCGAGGGCTTTGCGCTCTGGCGAAGTCGCCCTCCTGCCGCCTCCGATTCCTGGAGAGGGGGGGAAGCGTTGCCGTTGCCGCGAGCACGCTCCTTCGCATCCCCCCTTCCTTTCTTGGGGCACGTTGGGAGAAAGGATGCAGGTGGCTTCTCTTCTTCCTCGTCCGGGAGCCGGAGTTGAGGGGTGGGAGCGAGATGTTTGCCACTTCCAGGACTTGGTCAGCTAGAGGTGGGTGGGCAATACGCGCGTTTTGCGAAGCGCCGTTTCCCTCTTTTCGTTCACTCCCCGTGTCCTGCCTCTGGAGAGATCCTTTCCCGTTGATGCTGGTGTGGGAGAGGGTACACGCAACTTCGATCGCTCAGTGACAATTTTCCCGGGGAGTTTGCAGATGGTTCGGGGATGGGGAGGGGGTCGAGAGGGAAGGGTCTCCCGCTTTTTCTTGACTCGGAGGTGCCCGAGTTTGAAAGTAGTTTTGAACTTGTTCTCGTCTGCTACAGTATTGCCGAGAGAAAGTTGGCAGTGTTGGGCGAGGGGGCGAATGGCTATGGCTACAAGGATTGTTGTCGGAGCTGCTTCGGGTTCTTTTTCCTCTGTGCCTGACCGGCGGCCGGCCTTCGAAGTTTTGCCAAAGTAGCTGCTGCTGCTGCTGCTGCTGCTGTTGCTGCTGCTGCTGCTACTACTTTGGAGAGAAGACCCGGGGCATACTTCGACTTTGGAGAGATGCGCGCGGGGTCCAGAGCGCGAGATCGCCTCGGGACAGTGCCAGCAGCCGCCGGGGCGAAGCTCACCGTTTGCCTCGATGTGCAGTTTCTTTGGGCGAAGGGGCCTCTGTTTTAACTTCCTCCACCTTCAGTTGAGTGTGCTTGGGAAGATTCGGGGTGCCCCCTTTGCAGCTAGTTATTTTTACCTAATTATATTTGTAAGAGAGCAACTGATCTGTGCTCCCATCCCGGCCTTCTGCCCCACCTCCCTTTTTCTTTTTTTATCTCCTCCTGCGATGTGGAGAACTTGGGGCTGCTAAGAGCGCAAGATATAAGGGACTTTTGCTGTAGAGGGGGTGGAAGAGAGGGTATGAGGCAGGCTGGTGTATAGTTTGTGTTGGGTCAGGGGCGGGTGCTTGGCTCCGCATAGGGGTGGAGTTGGGAAGGGGGGGCTCTTGGATGAGTGGGATTTTAATGAAGGATCCTCTCCTTGTTTGGCTGCTCCAGGGACAAGGGAACAGGTGTTGAGTTGTCAGTCAAAGTTCGAGCCTTCTGCAAGGAAGCTGACAGCTGGGGTGGGGACAGTGGTTTTTAATAATAATAACAACAATAATAATAATAGGAAAGGAGAAATTTCTGGAGAATGACAAAAGTAAAAGAAGGAAGAAAAAAACACTAGACATAGGGTACATTCATAGGCAGGAGATTGGATGTGAGAATGCCACATCAAATTTTTCCCAGATCTGTCCCTTTAAAGGCACAGTTAGAAGGCTTTCCTCAAGCTGGAATGCCCATCAGAAGAGTTGGACCACAGTTCTCATCAAACTCATCCCTCAACCAGCAGGGCTATGAGGCATGCTAGAACCAGAATGGTGGGAAATGAAAGGTGACTGTGACCCAGTGAGACTGGAGGGCGTCGGGTTCATTCAGTTGGAGAAGTCTGATTCCTGGAAAGAAAAAAAGCATCTTTTCTCTGAGATTAACAACAGCCTTTTTTCTTACTGTATGATTTTTTTTCCCTCTTGAAGGGAAACATTTAACTTCACTCTTTCTGCCTGAATTTTGTTGCATATAAAAACATCAAATTTCAAAACTGGGTTGGAAGGAGAGAGGAACAGGTTGATGTGGCCTGCATAAAATTGTGCATTGATTTATAAAACCCTCTGTTTGGGGTTTGGCTAGAAAGAAGTTTATGTGCTCTCACAATACAAAATGCTAGTGTTTGTGTCTATATACCAAATATACAATATCTCTCTGCACGCTTGAAGCTTTCACCAAGTCCAGGGTGCCGGGGGATCTATGAGACCTTTGGGCTGGCAGTGTAATATAGTTCAGCGGCAAGGACAAGAAGATGTAGCTGGGTCAAGGGTCCATGTGGAGTTGGGCGTGTGCAAGAGCAGGTGCTGCTTAGATTCTTTATGCAGTTTGATGTCTGAGAAAACTTCTGAAAGAAGTTGCTTTGTAAAGGTTTGATGTAAATAGCTGTGGTTTAGATCTATCTGGCGTCTGTGGGAGAGGAGTGAAACTTTCTATGAACTTGATTAATAAATTCCATGTGTTCCTTCCCCTCAACATACTTCTTTTCCATCACCACCCACCCCCAAGTTCCTTCCTTCAAGCCATATGGAACTGCATTCGGGGTCACCTTAATCTTTCCTTTTGGAGTACAGTATGTGGTCTTTGTCCCGCCTAGTTCTCTCCTCTCTTAGTTCCATTTGTTTTTAGCTTCACTCTATATGTGCACACACAAAATAACCATTTGTATTCTACTGCCACCTTGTATCCATCTCAGATGTCTAGGAAGGCTTGATATGCGTATGTAGGGGAAGAATATTGGTGAACTTTAGTAATCAAGTTTCCAGATCTCCTGTCGTCTGTTTAATTTATTAGGCCACTTATTTATTCTGTTGATAATAATCTGTTGCAGGTTTCTATGGAGATGTTAAACTGATCTCTTCAAGAAATCAAACTCCATATGTGTTAAAGTGTTTAAAGAAGCAGCGTGTGTCTTTTTGAGGTGTCTTGTTTGCTTGTTTGTCAAGCTCTGTATTTTTTGTTGTTCAACTTGAAGTTTCCATATGAATATGTTAAGAAAGGATTGAAGCCGCAGAAGACCTGGAGTGACAGAAAGTTGAGGGTTTTTAATTCGGATCTTGGGCTTTGTATGTGTTAACTGGACTCTGATCTTGAAAGATTCTGTCTAACAGAAAATAATGTAAAATTGTAGGGGCCTTCTCCTTAATATACTTGATTTTTGAGGTACAGAGTCAATAACTGAAGCAAATAAAAACTGTTACACTGCAACTGTAAGGTTGCATTGCATTTTCTCCTTCACACTAAAATAAATCTAGCATCAAATATATTTTTCAATAATTCTAATACATTTTCAGATAGAATCCAACAGGCTAACTTGTAAGGCATTATCTCTGAGGTTAATCAAAGGGGAGGAAATTAAGAGGCATCTTACTTTGAGGCAATATTTGTGGATATAAGTCTTCAATGTCAAAAATTATCCAGTAAACTTTTTCTCCCCCTTTCTCAATATTTAAAGCTCATTTCATGATTTAACTAGGCAATCTTGGGAAGTGTTTGTTCCAGATCCAATTTAAAGCTGATGAAAACTTGTTTTGGGGCTTCCCAGCTATAGTGATGTATCTAGTTGGGGCCAAGCTGGTGTCATTGTTCCTTGACAGGCAGGGCAAAGTGATAGGTTTAAAAATATGACTCTGTTTCTTTTCCAGCCTAGACAGAGCTTCACTGCATTATCAATCTCTGCTTTCTTCCATCTTTTTCCTTGCAACAGTTTTGTGCCTATTTTTCAATATTCTTCTCCCCCCCGCCATTTTTAGCAACATACCCACACCTATACCCTCATATATTCAGATTGTTCTAGCCAAAACAGCCCTAAACAGACTTAAAAATAAGGCAAAATAAACCTGACTTGTCTGATGAAATCCGCATCCTTGATTGCTTTTAATCTTATTAATTCTCTTGTGTGTTATGCTCCCCCCCCTTCTCTGTATTGCTGCTTCCTTACAGTTTGAGCGCTATTTCTCCTCTTTTCTCCCCTTCTTATTTTAATTAATCTTTTTGGGTGGCTGCTTGTTCCATCCTTTTCTTCTTCTTTTTTCTTTTAAAAATTTGAATTGCAAACTGGACAGACAAGTGCAAAAACAAACAAAAAAATACAGCATGGCATCAGAAAAGAAACACTGTGGCTTTAAACCCAGGAGTTTGCATATTCCCCTTGTATCTTTCCCCTTTGCTAATTATTGTGTTGTTTTCAGAGCAAATATGTCATATCCATGGCGACAGGGCAGGTTTATTGTCTTTCAGAAGCAATAGCTCACATAAGTAATTAATGCCTTTTTTTTTCCTCTGGCTTAGGTTAAACAGATCATTCAAGGAGAGTCATCTCTCTCCCCCCTTCTCTCTCCCCCCTTCTCTCTCTTTTTAGCTCAGTGACATAAGAACATGAGTTAGAACAAGAAAATACTTTAACCAAGAAGTCAGCGACAGATTTCGCCCCCCCACCGCCCTTCCACATGAACACACACACATTTCTTTTAAAAGCTGGTCGCGTCAGTTTTCATATAGTTGACATTGTCATTCCTTATAGAAAGTAAGTCTTGGTTTAAGGAAGAAGAATTTTAAAGATCGAGATGAATACTAAGCTACTTATTGCTCTTGCAAAAGGAAGAGTGATTGGTGGGTATGCTTCTAGAAATACAAC